TGTGTGTCATCCTTGCACAGGGGCCATGCTAATCTTGTGTGTATCATTCCTGTGCCATGCTAATCTTGTGTATCATTTCAATTTTAATGGATGTCGTGAGAGATGCTCTCTTTTCCAGAATCCACTGGAACCATCATTCTTGTATCCGAACTGAAAATAATCGCCCGCTGATTGCTTGAGCAAAATCTAAGAAATAGAAAGCTCAGATGGGAAAAAAAAAAGAGGTAAACAAACACCTGATTCAAGTGGAGGGCAATAATAGCAGAGCAGAAGAAGAGGAGAAAGTCGAGGAAAATGATAAAACATAAAAGAGAGGCCCTAGAAGGGGTTATCCGGCCAGGAAGGGGGGGGTTGGGCAGCACTGGGTGAGCAGAGGTAAAGCCATTCTAACGCCATAGCGGACTATATAGAGTAATGTACTCAACACTCTGGTCGGCTACCAATTTCCCCCGAACACAACGCACCTCAATCATGAACAACGTATATACAAGCTATCTTTCGGGGACGATGACCATGACAACATTTCTTCGCCCCCCCTCTTTTACCCTCTCCCCCCCCCCCCCCCCCCCCCCCCCCCCCCCCCCCCCCCCCCCCCCCCCCCCCCCCCCCCCCCCCCCCCCCCCACCAAGCCAAATGAGAGGGATCCACCCAAAGCATGTCGCCCGCAAGAACAATCAAACCGAACAAAATAAAAGGGAACCTGAACCGAAGTGGACAACCTCCGGCTGACCCACAAAGATATATCATTGGCTCCAAAAGCTTCATTTATCATTTTCTTTTCTTTGTTAATTCCCTAGTTTTAAGAGAGTGTAAATAGTTTTTTTTGGCTTTTTTTTTGTGTGTGTTAGGTAACCTCCTAACCAGTCAGGGGCTGGGCCTGATGAAGACCGCCGTTGATAAATCTCATCGGCCGCTGTCATTTTGTTTCGGCTTCCTAAAAGACCGGAGGCCCACCCGAGGCTCCCTGTTTTCCCAACAGTCAAAGGTACTGGTGGTTAARAAAAAAAAAAAAAAAAAAAAGCGGATATCTTATTTCGACTTGATTAATCATTAAAGTGAGTTATTTATAGCGGGGCGTAAGTGTAAGGGTCTAAAGAGGGGTGGCAGCACATGTATAAATGGCAAAGCGTCAGTTCCTTGTACCGTCAAATATGTAGAAGAGTGCATCCACTTCTTCCTCTGTCGGTGGAGGAGGTCCCAATCTTCTCTTTCCCACCTGCATAGGACACGTTTTTCGTATCGTAATTAAAAAAAGAGCGATTTTTTTCTTTTTCTTTTGCTAAGAAAGACCCCCTTTTGCGACTGGAGGGGGCACCATTCCGGTTTTTCAACTGCATAGAGCTGACATACCACAGGACAGAGTCTATAGAGAGCTTCAAAAGCAAAGACACAGGACAACACTACATGCATTTGAACGATTTGTGGACCCGATACGTTCAAAATATTGGACTCGACAGAATGCACCTGGTCCAGAAAGCGTCCAAAGGCATGTAGAGTGTTGTGTAGTGGAGCGCAGGGCCTATATTCATTATCCGCTCCCTCAACGAATTATTAAAGAGTTTGAAAACCATTTGATAGAAAAAGGACTAAAGAATTATATTGAATTAAAATTTGCAGGAAAAAAGACCTAAACGAGTTATAGTCTAGTAGGCAGATTGTCACGCCCGGCCGGCATAGGAGCTAAAGCTAGGCTACCAGAGTGGCCCGGGTCCACTTGCCCGGCCGGGCCAAAAAGAAATAAAAAAACAAAAATAAAAATTATTTTCAAATTTTAAATAAAAAATATTTTCAAATTAAAATTTTTATTTTAAATTTGGTAAAGAATTTCGATGTGACCCTGAGGCAAGAGTTGTTCAGTTCATTATTCTGCATAACATAGTTTTTTTTTTCTTTTTTCTTTTTTCTTTTTTTTTGGCTGGGACCTTCCCTAGTCCTTGCACGGCCGGGCCGCCCGAGAAAATAGGGTGACCCGGGCGTCCCGGCTGGTAGCCTAGGGCTAAAGGGGTTTAAAGGGGGGTGCCTTAGTGTGATTCTGTTATATTTTTCTTTTTTTATTTCCGATACTGTGAGGAATTCTGATGTGACCCTCAGCCAAAAGTCATTTCTATTGCAATTCTACACAACATTTTTTTTTCCCCGGAGTTTTTTTTTTTTTTTTTTGAGCGTTGGGGCTGCGTGAAACCCCCCCTGGGGGTCATGCCCGGCCGAGCACCCGGCAAGTCGGGTGCCCGGGCGCCGGGCGCCCGGATAAACATCCTCGGTTATAGAATGATTAGTGGAACGAGTGACTGGAGGTTGGCCGGTCACAAAAGGAACGGCAAAGGGCGCTTGAAATACAATAATGAATAATTAACAAAGACCGAGTCAAATTCAGTCAATCAATGATGATTGCATCACAGCTCCAGGTAAGGAGCAAAGCACTCATAACGTGAAGAGCCGTGCTACCTACGCGGGAAAAAAAAAAAAGACAAAATGGATGTTGGGGTGTGGTGAGGGCGCGCAGGGAAGGACGAAAGAGAGGGGGGGGGGGTGAAGAGGGAAGAGGGAAGAGGGAAAAAGCACGCACTTGTTTGCCGCCATCATTCTTTTTCTCAGTTTCATGACAGCCTAAACCTTTTCTCCCTTTCCCGCCACCTCCTCTCCCCTTCCTCTTGTCAGAACCGTTTCCTCCATCTTCGTCCCCACGCTCCGCAAAACAGCCATCAGCTTTCACATTGACTTCCTGCTCATGAGCACTGGCCTGCACCAGCCCTTCCGTGGGCACGTTCACGGCATCCAGAGACTGTCCAAGCGACAATGCAAGCGCCTGCACAACGATTATCAAATCGTCACATACTACTCTCTCTCTCTCTCTCTCTCTCTCTCTCTCTCTCTCTCTCTCTGTCTCTTATACACATCTAGATGTGTATAAGAGACAGGTTTAACACAGGGAAAAGAAAGTTGGATAAAGAGAGAGAAAGGGGAAGACAGAAGACAGACAGACGGACTGACGGACAGACACAGACATACATACAGACGACAGGCGGACGGACGGAAAGACACACAAACAGAGAACTGTCCAAGAAGAGAAGAGAAGCAAAAAAAAAGAGAGGAAAGGAAAATGAGCAGGGTTCAAAGACAGGACCTGCTGTAAAGCTAATTCGTCATCAGCATCCATAGTCACCATAGCCACCGTCGCATTATGGTCTTGTTGATCCATGGCAACGTCCTCCTCCGCCAATCGACCTCCTCGGTTTGAACCATCAGCTTTCTTGACACCTTTTCCAAGGCAGGCTTCATCCTCATCCTTTCTCCAGCAGCTTGTTTCACGTACCTGTCCGCCTTTTCCACTTTTCCTCCGAATGGCCTGCAACAATATACCCGCAAGACTCGTTCCGTCATTCCGTTACTCTTCTGCTTGAACCCTTCTTTTTTTCTGTTTTTCTTTTTCCGTTCTGTTTTTTTTTTTTTTTTGAGGGGGAGAGGGGGGAGGGGAGAGGGAATCATCAACCTGGTTATCACCACTTTTACCGATGGAGAGAGACCAACCGACCGATCCAGTGCTATCTAAACTCGACCTAAATCGAATCAATGTCAAGAAACTTCCCACCACAGAGATCGGAACAAGAATCCCTCGTCGCATGCCCGTCATAACTACGCGCTGAAAGACATCTGCCACGTCGGATTTAAGAATAATAAGCATGCGCTCAACTCGGCGGGAACGTTTCGCTCATCACGCAAATTCAAGAAATTGCCATGTGGCTACTTCGGCGTGTGGAAAAAGAACCCCAAAAAAGAACATTGTCGTGGCCCATTCAAAACACTTACGTAACCGGGGAGAGCAAGACGGGGGATCCAGGGAGGACACAGTGAAAGATACACGGACAGCGATATGCGGATACAGATATCTGTATGGTCAAACAAAGCTGCCTACGGTTGGAGGGAGAAAGGGAGAAGAGGACAAGAAACGAGGGGCTCTGTGACAAACTGTTTCGTCGGAGTTTCCCCGAGTGACTCATCAGGAGGAGGCTGAACCCTCGACAGTCTGCAGAATCCCCGAAATAATTAAACTGTAAGTGATAATCCACCTTAACCCCGGTTGTGGTTAAGCATCACCGACTGCCCGACAACTGATACCCCTGAGGTGGTGGGGACCACCAACCACTGCCCTCAAGGTACGTACCTGTGACGAAAATCAACGCAGACTATCACTCACCCACACCAGATGGAAAACTTTACAGACTGTCGGTTCACACCCCATCACAAGCGAGCAAAACACCCACGATATACTAATACTGTATACATAGCCAAACAGAACTGCCCGGTAAACCGTAGGCAGAGAGGGAGAAGAGGACAACAAACGAGGGCCTGTCTACATAGAGAGAGAGAGAGAGAGAGAGAGAGAGAGAGAGAGAGAGAGAGAGAGAGAGAGAGAGAGAGGGAGGGAGGGAAAGATCGAAGGAGGGAATGACAAATACACGCATGTAAACGAATGGCACATTAAATCACTTACAAATTATATCATTCAGATTCGCAAAAAACACACCATGAGTAATCGATTGAGATATCCCACTGTCTTGAGGGGGACAGATTTCCATCGAACACGCCGCGTCTATGTAGAACCAACTAAGCCCATCATCAATGCAGACCACAAGGTCTGCAGGTCCCAGATCGAACGAAGATGATGCGAGTGCACCCAGAAACTCTTCACAATGGAGATTGATAGAGCCTAAGTAAATACAGTTGTGCATACGAGTGCACATCGCATATTCCATTCTCCCATCTCTTCTGCCTCTTCCTCCGTCTCTTCCTCTGTCTCTTCTTCTGTCTCTTCTTCTGATCTTCAGTTCCTTCGCTGCTTAGGAGGTACTGCTCACTGGAGGCGGCCCAGACCACTTGCTCTGCACAACTGACGTCAGAAAAATTCCACAGAAAACGCTCACCACATTTTGTTGATTGCCATGCGTTGATTAGTATATATTGCATTCCTTTGCTTTTCTTTCTTTTTTTTTGTTTGATCGGTGTGTAGCACTTCGCCACAGGCAGGCGGCGTTTCTTTTTTTTTTTTTTTTTTTTTTTTTTTTTTTAAATACAGAGCCTCTCGGTTCTCGCTCCCCGCCATTCTGAGGAGCAACAGTCCAGATCCCATTCCCCCCGGCAAGTCAAATATGATTACACCGAAAACATCCGCACGCTCCTTCCCATTATGGTTGAGAGGCCCGAGTGGACGGCATTGATTGAGACGGCGTAATCTTCGCAAACCTTCCTAATTTTATTTTATTTTTTCTGTTCCCATACAATTTCCTCGTAGTTGTATTTTATTAGCTATCTGCACCGAATTAACCTTTCCTTTTCGATTGGCTTCTTTGCTGCAGACGTCGACGTCGGCCCAACGAGAAATCAACGAACACTTATTAAAAAATAAAAAAATCAACGCACACATACAGATGAGTTCCAGATAACATGGGGACGTCAGGGGATGAAGGTCGGCGGCATAGGAAAGGGAGGGAACCTTCGCTGGTTGTGCCGATCCATGTCCATGTCTGCGTTGCCCACGGGCTGTTGACTTGCGCTGCTTTCCAGCAGAAACTGCGCCATCGCCAGCTTCTTCATCTTCCTCTGCACTCCCTTCTTCACCATAGCTTGAGGAGAAATCACTAGATGATGCATTCTCGGGATGATACTCATCCTCGATGTCTTCGTCTTCGTCATCACTTCTTTTTTTTCCCCCATCGCTTTGGAAACGTCGAGGGGTCAGAGGGGTCTTCGCCGCCACATCGTCGTGGACCTCATTTGCGGTTTTCTTGCGACTCTTCCTCTGGTCAGAATCCGATTTCCCGCGCTTTCTTCTTCCCGCTGCGCGCCGGCTTGCACAACCCCCTCCCTCTCCCTCTCCCTCTTCCTCTTCTTTGTCACCCTCGTCGCCGGAGGAACCGGAGCTCAAATAGCGGTCAGACTCGCTACTCGAAAAATCGACTAATTGCTTTCGTGAGTTGGCGCCGATCTCCCGGAGTCTCTCAGAGCGCCTCGAAATCCCGCCATCATTACTATTCCCGCCAAAAAAATCACGATCACAGCCGTGTCTGGAAACTGCCGAGGCGTCCACAGCCGCTGCTGCCGCGGCTGCGGCTGCGGACGCCGCCGCCAGTTCATCTGCCGACTTGGCCAAATCAAGACTTTCGAGAAGCGCGCGATTGCGCGCAATTCGCGCCAACCGCTCTTTTTCGTATTTGGTGAGATCCGCCATCGCCACAAAATTATTTTATTTTATTTTGCTTTTTTTTCCCAAAAAAAACAAAGCTATATTCTTCTCTCAATCTCAATTTCACCTTTCACTATCTACCCCAACCACTACTCCTACCGCCGATTAGTGGCGGGGCGTAACATGCATCCCCTTAATTGTGCGAGGTACGCCGCAAATTCCCGCTTCCCGCCCTTCTTTCTGCGCGCGCCCCGCTCACTGAATTGAAAAAAAATATACATAAAAAAAAAAAAAAAAGAATCCCGCACGGGCGCGCTCGTGAGGTCAATCGGATCGGCGATGCAATCGATCATACGATCCGACCAATCCGATCCCCGATCCGACCATTTTGGTGTGGGGATCCGTTATCAAAAACGTTCACGGGAGGCATGCGCGCGAGTTCTTATTCGCACCACCTCTTCACAAATGTGTTGTGTTTTCTGACTCACTGCGCTTGCCATGTCCCATACGATGCAAGTGTTAAGTATAGACGAACTGCGTGATCGTGCCCTGGCAATAAGTACAGTCGACGAACTGCGTGATCGTGCCCTGGCTATAAATAAAGTATAGTCGAACTGCGAGATCGTGCCCTGGCTGCACGTCGAGAGGACGATTGACAATTGTCATCACGGACAAATGCTTCTGGTTGCACCACCTCAGCGCTTTCCTTTGGGTTCCGCCACTGCGAAGAAACTTCAGTACACGTGGCAAGATGAGGGCAACGTGGCAAGATATGGCAGAGGAGCACGTGCTTAATAATCAATCAAAGGATCTTTTGTGTTTTGCTTCGAGAACCTCGCATGGGAAGGCACACTGCCAAGTTGTCAGACGACAGGATAATATTTCTGCGTATTGCCTTTCTGAGTCTGAGCTGGCTGTCTGAGTCCTTTGACGGGTGGCTTGCTGCTTACAAGACCCAGTGGCACCCGCTCCATGGTTTTATTTTCAGAAAATCCGACTCATGGGACATCATCCGAGGGTATTATCATCGGACCAACCAGCCCAGGTAAATTCAATATTGTCTCTAATCTGACATCGGGTGGCCTTTTCAGCCCAGGGTGGCCTTCATTTATTGCCTTCAGGGAACCCCCAGTGGGGGACACCGGCCAGGGGACTAATCCGGGGGGTTCTAATCTGTCTGTCTTCTGATGTTTGTTATTGCTGAGCGGCCTTCCGGTTTTGATGCCAGGACAGTCCTGTTCAGTGATAGGGGATCGCCACACCACTCTTGAAATGTGCAAAATGAAAATGAACTTGTTCGCAGCCTGTCAGGGGTGCGTTTTATGCCCCTGAGAACATTTTTCGTTTGGAAGGCTGGAAAAACAAGGCATGGCAGTTCAGGGGGTGGTGGCATCTTATCTGAAACTGCAGGACCGGTAGCTGCCCATGGGACCGCATGGGTTTTGGTCCAGGACCGCGTAGGACCGGTAGCTGCGCATAGGAGGCTGACGAGGCCGCAGTCCTTTTTCGAAATTGAACGGTGCGGGTCCACTTTTCTCGAATAGCAGAATTCCTCGAATAGAAAACGCACACGTTGTATTCGAATACAACATGTACCCTTTCTACTCGGATTTCGAGAAGAACTCGAAAAGAAAAAACTCTTGTATTCCGATAAAATTACTTCTTCTTTTTGTTGGAGGTCAGCGCCTGCCCTTGTGCTCCCCGCCACTGACATGCTCTCTCTCTCTCTCTCTCTCTCTCTCTCTCTCTCTCTCTCTCTC